GTGCTCCCGCACCCGCCGGGTCCTCGCTCGCCCGCGTCGTCGCCGCTCCTGGGCGGATACACCGTGCTGGCCTCGGCCGGCTCCGGCTTCCCTGGCGCCGTGGAGATCCACCCGGACGCTTCCAACCTGACGGTGCTCAGCACCGCGGCCATCCAGGACGGCGGCACCGTGGTGAAGGTGGTGAGCCCCTTCCAGCTGCTCACGCTGCCGGGACTCGGCACCGCCATCCAGAACGTGACGCAAATGGCTCCCAGCGGGAGCACCATCGTGACGGTGCCGTCGGGCGCCGCCGCGGCGGACGAACACGCCACCACCATCGAGGTGACCACAGTGGCCGACGAGGCGGAGCAGAAGTGACGGGGGGCCTTGCCTGGAGGGACGTTTTCTGTGACACTCTGGGTGGAACTGCCTTTTCCCTGGCTGTGCTGGGGGAAGGGGGAGCAGTGTAAAGAGGGCACAGGTTAATGAGACTCAGGATGGCTGAAATCGGGTCCCGAGGAGATTCGAGTCAGAGAGGAGAGAGGAAGAGGGAGGAAAAAGACACCCAAAGGAGGGAAGGACAAAATGCTCTGCCCTATTTGGAGAGGAAAAAAAAGGCTTAAGTCTTAAAGCTTTCCTCACCTATTCTCTTGGGCTACGTATTCCACTTCTAGCTTGTTAGCCCTGCCTTATCTCTAGACTTCTTAGCTGGGACAGTGCGCGAGAGGAGCAGATGGGAGCAGGGTTGCAGGGCAAGGAGGCAAAGGCAGTAGCAAAAGGTCAAGAAAATCCTCGCGAGGCGGCTGCGCAGGTGCAGATCCGCGTGCGAGCGGCATCGGCACGGCCGGCAGCGCAGGTGGGACGAGTCCGGGCTGCCGTCCCGGCAAAGGGCTGGTGCTGGATGGGGCGCTGGAAGGACAGGGCGTCCCGGGAGCCTGGAAGTCCGTGGGATGCGCGTGGGCATGAGGCTGCGCCTGGGGAGACCCCCTGTGCGGCAGCTCCGGGTCCTGCTGTGTCGGATCCGGGTGGCTCAAGTGCCTTGTGCGTGTCCCTAAAGGAGGCTTCGTCCTGAGGATTGCCGTGAGCTTCCCAGCTCCGCTCGGCAACGGAGGCGGGAGAGAACTGTTACAGGTTTGGGTTGTGTGGAGGGGAAGAAACAAACCCAAAGAGCCAGGAAAAGCTGTAACTTCTGAGGATTTAGGGTCTCTCTCTGGTTTTCTCCAAGAACCCATTCTGTGGGATTTTTAAGGAAGTGGCGTAACCCTTCTGGTTGTGAAGATACTGCTCTAAGGCCAACACGTACTGTTGAATGTGCGGAAAAACCGATGAACCCGGAGCGCGCGGGGAAGCTCGCGCCGCTCCCCGAGCGGAGCCGTCCCGGCGCCGGGCTGGTCCCCGGTGCCGTCGCCTTCCGGGCGCCTCTTCCTCGGCGCCGCCGGGTGCTTCTCTCCCCGCCTGGTTTGCAGAGATGCTCCGTGGGCCGCGAGGCTTAAGGCACCGACGGAGAATCCGCAGCTCGCCGGTGCTCTTTGGATGCTCCGTCGCGCGGCCGCTCCTGTTTTACGGCGCACGCTGCACGTGTGCGGTGATGTTTACACTGTCTCCGGCTAAAAGGAGTTGGGTGCTTGACGTGTGGGTTTTCTATAACATGATCTGGCAGCAGCAGCAATGACAGGTCACTTTACTGAGCTAATAAATATTTTTTTGAAAGAGTGCTGTTGCTTATTGTGTTGGTGTGGTCATGACAGCTAGGATTGCAATTCAGGGCTAGGTCAGGGCAGGAACACATTTTTAAATGAATATTTTCATGCATATTTATATGCTATGCTTGCTACAGTCCATGCATGTGCAGAGAAATGCTTCAAACCCTTCCCTAATTCGAGTATATTGTGGCTGCTTCAGCCTGTGTCCTGGGTGCACAAGCTGTGTGTTGGTCTGGTAAAACACTGAGCGGGCATGAAACTTTACAGAAAAGCTTGGGATTTGCTGAAGAAAAACACAACCGTGTTCTGAATTGCTGGGAAAGGGAGCGAAACCTCTTGTCAATAGTGTGGAATTGCTGGGACCTTGTGTCAATAGTGTGGACCTTCTCGGAAAGGGGAGTCTGGGCTTCTCCACTGCTGCGTCTGCAAGTGGGAGTTTTGCCTCAAAGCTCATGACATGGAAGGGTTTTTTCTTTGCAATGATGCTTTTTGTTGCAGGAACTGGAGCTTCCGATGCCAACCTGCAAGTCCACGTTGTTGGGATGAGCGTGGCAGTCGTGAGGCCCCCTGTCCTGCTTGTGTCCTGCCACGTGGAAGTGGGGCTGGGGGCAGAGGAGCCCCTCAGCAGGCCGTGCTGGGGGACACGGACATGTTCAGGCAGGCCCACAGCAGCAGCCCAAGCGCCGCATGGGCACGAGGGCACCGTGCCCAAAACACGCTCTGCCCTTCCCCGTGGCAGCTGCTTGTCCTGCTTGAGGCACCTTCCTTCAGTGGTCTTGAGCTGCACCGAAGCCATTGAAGCAGCCCGGGATCGGCCAATTCCGTCTCCTCTGACAGGCAAGTGCTCCGACCATTGCTTCCTTCTCTTAAGTAAACATTAACTCCTTCCCGTGCCAGGGAAGAGGCAGCCCGTGATGTTTTCCCTTCGGCTGAGACAACAGGCAGAGCCGGTACGTGTGCTGGGCATGTGGTGACGTGTTATTTACCCTGACGTGATGTTTACTCTGCCACGTGGACATTGAAACTGGGTTTAGGGGGTGGTTAAGGACACAAGCTGGTGCCAGGAGGACGTCGCTGTGGGAGAGGCTCCTTGCGAGCTCCCGTGTGTGTGAGGACACAGGGGAAAGAGGCTCCCGCAGCCCGCGGGACCCCTCAGCATCCCAGGGACCATGTAGCATCCAGGAGGCTTTCGTGCCACAGTGTCCCATGAGCCGGGAGGTCCAAGACCGTGACCACAGCAGGATCCCCTCATTCCTGGCTCTGTTTTGCAGCGCTGCAGGGCCAAGTGGCTTCAATCTCTTGGGCTGGGCAGCGGGATGCGCTCCGGATAGCAAGGGACAGTGGCAGTGGCTGCCTCGGAGCAGCGTCCCCATGCTCGGGTCCCTTCTCGCTTCTGGAAGGGCTGAATTTTGGCCACCCCAGAGCACCCTCTGGTCCCCGCTGTGGCCGTGCTCCAGCTCTCGGCTTGGGCCTTCCCATTGCCAATGTGTTTTCTTGAGGGCCTGAGCTGTCTTGGCTCCAGGAGCGGTGCTGAAAGGAACCTCTTGGTTATTTTCTGAGCGCTGCAGGTTTCCTACGTCACGAGTTCTGTTTTGAAACCCAACCCCAGTAACATGAGCGCTTCCGTCAGGGTGTATTTCATATTAAGGGAGCTCTTGGCTTCGGTGTCGCTTGGTAGGATGTCTCGGAGAGGCTGAGAGGGGAGCCCAAGAAGATGCTGGAGGGAGATGCAGATAGAAATGAGACATCTGCCTCCTCCATGCACACCCGTGTGCCGTGAGCAGCACGTCTGGGTGCTTTTGGCACATAGGGAGCTAAGGCAAAACCAGTCTCCTACGTTTAAGCCAGCCTGTGCTTAGCAATAATGCTGAGTTGAATAGAGCGCGTTCAGGTTTGGATCGGGTTTGGATCCGGTGCGTGTGCGTCCCCCGGTCCCTTCTAAAAGCAAAGCAGCTGGTGGCACTTCGGAGACCTCTGGCAGGGAGCACAACCCCTGTCCTGCTCAAAGGGTCCGAGATGCGGCTCCATGGGATGGAGAGAACGAAGAACAACCCTGTCTCCATCGAGGAGGAAGCAGGGAAGAGTCCAGGTATCTTAAACCTTGTTTATCACTGTGCGTCTGTTCTCGGTGGTACCCAAGTGACTTGCTTTCCTGGGGTCATTGTGGAGCATCCTGGTTGTCCTGGGACAACCTGCCCATGCCAAAGTGCACAGGGCTGACACTCCTATGGAGCAGGTCCTGCCAGGCCTGGAAGCTGGTGGCACTGGGACGTGCTGGCTTCGCTCGCAGCATCATGGTGCTGAAGTGCCCCAGGGTCTGGGTGTCCCTGCACTGCTCGGGGCCGGGCTGTGGCCGCCTGGGTGCTGTGACTTGCTCATGGGACACGTTGGTGGCACCTTGACTCTCTGCTGTGCCGTCCCGGTGCCCTGCTGGCCGAGTGCCCCAGGGGAGGCTTGGTGACCCATGGGGCCATAAAGAGCCCCCCTGGCCCTATAAACTGCCCAGGGGTGCAGCCCGTGGGGGACATGCAGGGGAGGGCTGTGCTGGATGCTGGGGACAGAGAAACAGGGGCAGCAGTGGCAAAGGCTTCGGTGGCGGCGCACGGGGACCTGTCCCAGAGCTGCTGGGGACCAGGCTGCGCCCTGGGA